TGTTGCAATGAGTTACTCCTCCTTTTACAGAAGAATCAGTTCTCAGTCTGGATGGAGAATGCACATCTCACCTGCCCATTTGCACAGGACTTAGTCTGGTCTTCGCCCCAATAGTGAATAAAAAACTTCAGAGGACCTGATGACAGGCGGAATATGCCTTTGGGTCAGAGTTTCAATCTCTTTATATAACTCTGTATATGAGTATCTGCAGTGGATGACACTATTAGAATCTGTGACATTACTGCCCCTTTAATAACATCGTGTAGTTAGTAGTAGAATAGAGAAAGATGAGCTGGGGATCTCTCAAAGTTTTAATTCTGAAAGCCATTTGTATTGGAGCCTCCCATGAGATGCTGTTGCAGCTTTATTGCAGAATACTTTTTCTGGTGGTTTGAATGATTTTAATAACAGAAAAGCTATGGGTCTGTGCTACTTTCTGAACTCTCATTTACACAGCTGAATAAATAGTGAAGAATACTTTACATCCCTCTGTCCTGACTAGAAGCCTGTCTTTGTAGTCTGCAGAGATCAAAGCAAGGTATAGAACTGAAAGTGTGTTTGATCCACCATGGCAAGATCTGAGCAATATATAGGAGTTTTAATAACAAGTCAGTCAAACAAAGCCATTCATCGTGCTTTAACTTCCTGTTTTCTGGAGCTTTAGGTAACAGTTTAGTGTATGCTGTATGACAGAGTGCTTTTATGGTTGCTACTAGAAACATTGTTTCTAGCATGAGTGAGAAATAGGCATGAAAATAGTCCTGGTTTTCAACAAAGGGAACTCATCTGCTTTGATAGGTAGATAAACTGCAAAATACTGCTCTGCTTCATGAGCAGATTTGAGAACCCACCCTTTTGCTTCTGCAGGTAACACAAAAATTATCTTCTGTAGAGAGTGCCAAGCATTAGGAGAGCTCCAAGCTATTGGGCCCTTCCTTCACTCTTTCTTTAAGACTGGATTTTTATCTGGAGTTAATCAACTCATTTATTTCAACGAGGCAAATCTGTTTTACATTTGTGCAGTTTGCTGTAGATCATGACCACCTGTTATCTGCTACCTTTTCTTGTGTTTTGGTTTAGTGACTGTTTGCACTGAATTCTTGTTTCTCTACCCCTCTTTCAGTCAAAATGCAGATGTAAAATACAACAGATAGACTTGTTTTCTAGAAGATTGAAGCTCTAAGAATGTATGACAAACTACACAAATGCTGAGAAGAGCAGTACTTTTAGTATGTTCTCAATTTTAAAGGTTTTCATTTAAAAAAACACTATTGTGAGGGCTACCAGCTATAGAAAATGTGATGTATTCACTTATATCATCACTTTTGTGGTATTTCCAGAAGGCTACTCAAACTTTTATTTGGTAAAAATAGTACCACATTTGTTTCTTTTTTGTCCTGCAGCCCCTTTGGTTCTCTCTGACTGCTGTCCTGTCATGTTTACCTAGTGGTGATTTTTAGTCATGCACTTTCACTAAAGGCTTAAGTGACTTGTGACTCTCTGTGGCAGTGACAGCAGAACAAGAGCCAGTCCCTTTCTATAATGCTGACGATGCCAAGCCTGCTGGAGAGAAGTGAATGCAGAAGTGGGGCTGCATGCTGAAAGCAGCACGGCTGTCACACTTCTCCAGGAGCAGAGCTGGGCAGCAGCAGGAGCTGTCAGCCCGGGCCACAGCCCTGCTGGGGACAGACAGGCATGGCCTGGCATGCAAGGTCCTGCTGGGTGCCACAGTGCCCTGTCCCAGCTGGCTTGCTCCTGGACACTGCTGTGAGGTGCTTTTGGCTGTCCTTAAACACCTGCAATCACAAAGACTTGACAATAAGTTTGCATTTTAAAGCACTCACTTCATCCCCTTCACTGCTGTTATTCAAAGCTCCTTGCCACTTGTACCAGGGTCATGTACCTGGAAATGTTTTAACCACTGTGATTTTCAATTTTTTTTTAGTCCAGAAATAGCTTGTGTCCGTCACAACAGGGGAATCAGTGTGCTTATAAAGCAAAACACAGGTTTTCTGCTGTGGTCTATAAGCAGATCCCTGAATGTCCTCCAAAGTTCACTCTCTTTATTTTGCAGGTCAGAATGAGGAATGCTGATGTGTTAATATCATAATATTTGTATTGCTTTTAAATTTCTTGATTGACAAGCTCTACCTACTGCTTTTTCAGCATTAATTGCCTCGTAGTGTCTCAGGCCTCAGGCTGAGGTTATAATAATTTCCACTGAGATTGCAATCACAGGCAAGTAGCTGTAAACACCTTAGCCTTCCATGTCACTGAGCAAGAAAGGAAATACCAGACAGATAGGAAGTAGAGTTCTTTGGGCTGTGGTAAGGTAAAATTGTCTGTATAGAGAGAATAATGGCAAGTAACTTAAAAACAAAATTTAAAAAAATCACAGAATATCCTGAGTTGGAAGGGACCCACAAGGATCATTGAAGTCTAGCTCCTGTACCTGCACAGGACATCCTGAAGTGTCACACCATGTGCCCAAGAGAGTAGTCCAAATGGTCCTTCAACTCTGACAGGCTTAGTGCTGTGACCTCCCTGGAGAGCCTGTTCCAGTGCCCAGACACCCTTTGGGGAAATAAACTTTTCCTGATAGCCAACCTGAACCTCCCCTGACATAGCTTCAGGCCATTCCCTCTGTTCCTGTCACTGGGCACCACAGAGAAGAAGTCAGTGCCTGCCCCTCTACTTCTCCTTGTGAGAAAGGTGTAGACTGCAGTGTCTCCCCACAGTTTCCTCTTCTTCAGGCTGAACAAACCAGAAAGAAGTGGTGGAGAGCAGAGAAAAGGGATTCTTTTACAAAGCTATGGTGGACTATATAAATAAAATTGAGAAGGTGTTGGCAGCAGTTTCTTAATTAGAAGTTGCTAAGATTATTTGGAACAAAATTAAAATATCTTCCTCACAAGAGAAATAGATTTTGAGGTTCATCTTTGATGCTACTTAATACTACGTCATGCACATAGAGGCAGCAGCATAGCCATGACCACAATTTCTGCCTGAGCAGCTGGTTAAACATTGCATTGGTTAGCACAGAAGATGGGTGTAGCCAAACCAATTTTAATCTACCTATGAGTTGCAGCCCAAGCAGGTACTTGATACCTTCTGGTATATGAAGGACACTGGACTTTCCTGGACAATGTAATCCAAACTTTAGGGAAGAAGTAAATAATTTAAAACCAGTTTTAATGTGCTCTGCAGTTTCACATGATTTCTTTTCCCTGTAACTATGTGTCTTCTAAAAAGTACAATTATGGGGACAATTTGGAGATTTGACCCACTTCAGAAATAAGTTTCTTTGCCTGTTACCCTGTGATCTGGCATGTGAGGAAAAATGCTAAGGGGGTATGCAAGAGCAAATTCTGCTCTCTGACTAGCTGTAAGGAACTACCACCCACAAGAAGGGAGGGAAGGCATTTCCCAGCTCCTCAGCCCAGTTTGTTAGTATGCTTTGACTGGATGATGATGGATTTCCTGGAAATCTGTCTACAGCTGAGTGACAACCTGTCTAGTGACACCGCTGAATTATGGATTAGGCTCCTATCACCTAACCTCTTTAAGGCTTCTCCTTCTGCTCCTACACAATCACCACACCCCTAAGCAGCACTCCTGGACTGTGATGGCACAGGCAAGCCACAGGAGACTTGTCATACACTGGGCATATCTTTATAGAGAGTCCTATTTTACTCTCATTTTTTTTCGAAAGGAACATTTCCCAACCTCTGCATACTCCTCCTCTAAGCTGGAGGGCATTACAAGCGGGCAGCCAGGAGAAGGATCAATGCAAAGGAATTTTTTATTCTCAAAAGTTCATTTTCTATGCACTAAACTGGCCCTGCTGATTGACTCATGGTTTACCAGAAAGCAGCCCTGCTGTTACAAGACTTAGAAAGTGATGATCCAGCCTGCAGGATCCTTTAGGAGATTGTGTCTGTCAGGTTGTATGAACAGCCTCTAGTTGGCCAAAAATCAGCCAGAGAGCAGGCCAAGGAAACATGCTCCCTTTGCTGGTAAAAGGGCTGGGAAGGGCTGAGACCCTGTTTAAAGAAGGTGAAAAAACAGATGAGCCTGTGAATGTTGATATTTCTGATGATTCTGTGGTGTGTTCTTTGGAACAAGAAGAGGAAATTACATGGGGAAACATGGGAGAAGGTAAAAATGTGGAAGATGAGGTGAAATCGTTCAAAATATGCCCCGAGAAAAGAATGGAGAAAGCTGCAAAGTCCATGAGGAGAAAAATGCAAGTGTTGCTGACAGTGTAGAGAACAAAAAGGAGTTTTGAAGAAAGGCAAAACTAACAGGAAACATTTACATGAAAAACTTCCAGAGGGACTTACTAAAAATTACTAATATTTGAAGCAACCCCTAAGAGACTGTGAGAAAGAGAGAGAGAGAGAAAGGTATTCCAGACTTTAGCATATCTAAGGTAAATGTGTGCTTAAAACTCTGTGAGGTGGTTGGTCAGAGTTGCAACCAACAGTGAGAGGGGAAGGCTTGTTGTCTTCTAGACAAAGGTCCAGGGTCAATGACAGCAAATTCTCGAAACCCAGATCTGTTTCTGGAGTGGAACTTAGATAAACCCTTCAGAAATTTTGCTTGAATAACACCAGAGTAGTTCATCAACTGGATTGTGTCAGCTCCCAGGATAGCCTCTTAGAAGGAATTAGAAAATGGACTAATTGTGCAACAGAAAGATCTGTATTCAGCTGGGGCAATGTCTCTTTTAAAAAATAATTTTAATGTGAACACTTGCAAAGTATAAATTTGTCCTTTTCCCCAATAAGAAGGTCAGGCTGTAGCTTTTGCCTTTCTTTAGTTGTCCACATCTTGCCAACAGTCCTTTGAGTTTTTCCACATGGGAAAGCCATTTTGAGTCAGTTAATGATTAGCCTGCCTGTGAACTTTAAATTAAAACCAGCAGCCACAATTAATGGAGCCCACGGTATCTTCTGCAGGCTGCTAAGAGCAGTAGTGGGAAGAGTGGTGGCTTGTTGAGCCTGCTAAATAGAGATGGCCAGTTGCCAGCTCTCAAAAAGAGGAGATGATGGATGAGAGAAGGAAAGGAAACAATCTCATATAAACAAGACTCCCTTAGGAACAGCCAGCACAAGCTGCCAGTGTGCATGAAACGCTTATATGGGATTTTCCTTCATTTGAAAACAGGCCATTTCAACTGCAGGTGAGGTACCTTCCTTCCTTTATATTCTTCTCATCTGGAAGCAGATTTTTAAATGGTAGTCAAGTGAAAGGCCCATTTGGGGTCAGAGGTATCTATGTTCCCATACCAAAAGAAATTCCCAGAGCCTTCTAAAAGCTCTGGGACTGGGCAAAGCTCAGGATCAGCAGACCTTGGTATCAGCAGACAAGGTATCAAAAATATTTTTCTGCTTATTCTCTGTAATACTAATGCTAGGTAAAATGGTTCTCATGCAGAATGCCTTGCTTTGAGGGAGACCTGTGGAACTAAAAACCGTAAGACCAGTAAGAACAGATGGGGATCAACCAAAATCTGAGTCTCCTTGCTCTCTTTCCCAGTCTGACCACTAAATTCCCCCTTTTGCTCCTCTTCTAATGAAACAGCTGGAGAGCTGGGAATAGCTGGAAGGGCTATTCCTCAGCTTCACAGTTGTAATGCTTTATACTGATTTACCCCTAATGCCACTGAAGTCAGCAGAGGTAAACCAATGTGAGACCAGGTCATAGCCAGAATTAAAATACAGAAGGGCATATTCACCTTCATCAGATAAAGGCACAAATGGAAGTAATAATGGTACCTGTAACAGCTTACAAAAATTACTGTCATCACAGAAGCTGAAAAGAAATAGGAGACTTTAAATTATTCACAACAGCTTGTGGCCTGTTATGCTCCTCACTTTCCTTAGTGATACACAAAGGTGATCAGACCAAGGAAAATGTCTTCATCCTTAATGATGTGTAAGGTGAGCGGAGACCACCGTGTAGCAGGACCCAGATCCATGTTGGAGCAGCAGGATCACAGACCTGAAGCTGTCAGCACAGCAGTTCCAGCCTGAGTTTGTTCCTGAGTTTCAGATGAATAAGGCAGTGGCAGACGCCGGAGCTCTGTGGTGGTGTGGGAGCTGTTAGCTGGAGTCACCCTGGCGAGGGACACAAACGCAAGGACTGCCTGCTCCTCCTCCTCCTCCAGAGCACAGGGATGAGGCAGGAGCAGGAGTACTTGCAGCAGCTGCTGGCTGTGATGCTGTCACAAGGACAATCCCGGCTGGGGCTCCAGGGCACACGCAGTCACTGCAGGAATCTCTCCTGGAGGAGCACTGGAGACCAGCCCCAGTGCTCCTGTTGATGCAGTCTCAGGAGAGGCCCTGTGCCTACATCTGTGACCTGTGGAAGCTTTCAGCCCTTTCATGTCTGCCTTCTGAAGAAACTGGTATTGCTTGCTGGGAGAGGTAGGATATAGGACTAGAGAAACTAGTCCTTTGATGCAGTTTGGAAAACTTCCTTATTCTAGAAAAGCCTAAGCATTAGAGCCTGAAGTAAGTTCAAATGTGGGACACTGTAGAGACTATGCAGGTTTTTGGAGCATTTTCTTTTAATGGTGTGATGTATTTACATAGTATGAATATTTTTGAAAGAGAACAGACTACTTTATGACAAGTGAATGATGCATGGAAGCATCTTTTCCTTGCAGTCATGGCAGAATCCTATTGATCATTTCTCATCCAGGGAGTCTGGGAGCTCATGGCTCTCAGCTCTAGTGGGAGTACTGTGTAGTTATGAGATTCTGGTGATTTTTATTGTCACTAAAGGCTCTAGCCCCCAAGGTGGAAGCTTAAATCAAAAGCATGTTTTTCCCCATTTCATGTCTGTGTCCCAATAGTGAGGATTTGCTCAGGCCCTGCAGAATCAGGCTCTTTAATCCTCTGCCCTCATGTTAACTTTTGACGCCATGTCCTGATTGGGCTGCTGCCAGGAGTAGCCTTTCTGTAATCCCAGCTGCAATCATTATTTGTGCCACCCCTTCTCCCCAGGGGCTAATGGAAGGGAGCAACAAGGCACGTAAGTGCACTGTGTGAAGAAACAGATGCTGTTTTGCTCCTGTTCAGCTCCCTAGTGCCTGTTTTGGATTCCATTGTGTTTAAATACAAGTACAATAGGTAATAACTTTGTTCCATGCATTGTCCTCCTGAAGGGACAACGTGAAGGGATTGGCTGGGTGGGGAGTTAATTCCATCTTTTTCTGAGCTGATTGATGCAATTTGTTCTGTCTTCTAAGTGCTGGGTAACTCCCCAGCAGCAGAAACCTTTCACTTAGAAGTAATAACAGTTTAAACCTTGATACACTCCTGTTTCCCTCCCAGAGCAGCCTCAGTTCCCTTGGCACTGGGGATGGTGCTGAAGGAGTGCTCCTGCAGCAAAGCAAATAACTGGACTTCAGCTTGTAGAAGGTGGTGTAGTCTCTGCTGCAAGCAGCAACACATTTGCTAAATAATGGCTAAAGCTCTGCCTGGCCTTGAGCTCAGGCTCCTGTGAGTGCTGCCCAGGCAGGAGCAAGCTCTGCTGCAGCAGCACAGCAAACCTACCCAGGTGTATTTGGTTTGTGTGACAAGGTTTTGGTAGTGATGGGGGCTACAGCAGTGGCTCCTGTGAGACACTGCCAGAAGCTTCCCCCATGTCTGACAAAACAAATGCTGGATGGTTCCAGCAAGCACCCGCTGCTGGCAGGGCTGAGCCCATCAGTCCAGGTGGTAGCACCTCTAACAGGTGCTAAGGTCTAACACCTCTAACAGGTCTAAGAAGGGGAAAAAACAAAAGAGCAGTAGCTGCTGGGAGACAGAAGTGAGGATATGGGAGAGCAACAGCTCTAAATACCCCAGGGTCAGTGCAGGAGGTGCCTCAGACAGTGGAGCAGAGATCCCCCCAGCCCATGGTGAAGCCATGGTGAGGCAGCTGTGCCCCTGCAGCCCAAGGAGGTTCAAGGGGATGCAGAGATCCCATGCCAGAGCAGCTGGATGCCCCCCAGAGGCTGTGACTCCATGGGAAGACCACGATGGAAGAGGCTCCTGGCAGGCCCCCATGGAGAGAGGAGCCCATGCTGGAGCAGGCTTGCTGGCAGCACTGGTGACACCATGGGACACCCTCACGGCAGCAGCCTGTTCCTGAAGGATTGCACTCCCTGTGAGAGACCCAGGCTGGAGCAGTTCATGAAGCACGGACACTGGAAAAGTTCATGGAGGATGTCTCCTGTGGGAGGGAGCAAAGGAAGGATGTGAGAAATCCTGCCCCAGAGGAGGAAGGAGCTGCAGAGACAACGTGTAGTGAACTGACCACAACCCCTATTCCCTATCCCCCTGTACTGCTGGGTGGGAGGAGGTAGAGAATGTGGGAGTAAAGCAGAGCCCAGGTTAAGATTTGGTTTTATTTTTCATTATCTGTGATTTTATTAGTAATAAACTACGGTACCAAAGTTGAGCCTGTTTTACACCTGACAGTAATTGCTGAGTGATGTCTCTCTGTCCTTATCTCGAACCATGAGCCTTTAAGTTCATTTTCTCTCTCCTGTCCAGCTGGGGAAGGGAGTGATAGAGCAGCTTTGGTGGGCACCAGCTTCAACCCACCACACCATGCCACTTAATCCTGCCTCCTCTCTAAGGACCTCCCAGCTAGAATGTAGCTCCCAGCAATCCTTTGACTCCAAACTCCTTTGAGTTTTTACAGGTAGGGTTGCTGCAAGGTTGTGCCCTCCCATGAGGGTTCAGCCAGGTGAGCCCAAGCCCCATGTGTGGGCAGGAAAATGCTTCCCCAGCCTAGCCTGGAGGGAGCAAGGTATCCTTGTAACCTGACTTAAGGTGTGAGGACTGTGACTCATTTTAATTACATGGTGAGTGGAAGTTGAGGGAGACGGTGCCTCCTTAGCCTCTGTCTCACCCTCTGAGCAAGCTGGCTGCTACCAATGAGATTTCTCAAGGTGCCCAGTACCAACTATTTCCAAGGGGTTATCCAGCAGCAATTTTAACAACAGACTGGAGGGATGTGGGGGGAAGAATGCTCTTAGCTGAGGTGTGTTAATGATGCCACTATTCTTTTTCTCTCCCTCTCTACCCTGAACCCGCTCCCAGCAAGGACACACGGAGCATTATGTCATTGGCATCCTGGTTCAGGTGGAACGAGCCCCCAAACCGCATTTCCCAGAGGAACCCCACAGAGATGGTGGTGGAGACGCTCATGATGGAGCTGAGCTGGCAGATGAAGCAGGCGGAGAAGCAGCAGCGGGAGCGGGAGAACGAATACCGCAAGATCAAGACGGGCGTGGACTACGGCTGGCTGGTCAGCTACCCAAAGCACAGCTACGATATCAGCCCTGGGGAACGCCTGCAGCTGGAGGACATGTGCACCAAAATACACCCCTCCTACTGTGGGCCTGTCATACTCAGGTACAGCAAAAGATGGGATGGTACACACCTTTCCTTTCCCCCTTTCCTCTTCGTGGTGTGTGAGGAGAGAGTGAGAGTTGCTGAGACTAACACAAGCAAAACTTGGCATCCTGTATCATGAGTCGTGCTGGGATAGTGTTTTTGTGAAAGAAGGGAAATCTAATATTTAAAATCAGTTTAACACAACGTCATTCCCTCCAAGAAGTTACAAAATGCCATTTCCCTCAGACATTGGCTTGAGTACTTTATGCTCCTGAGTAGCCAGAGCAGCTTTACCTTGCTTGATGAACAGGTACCATATTGGTATTGTGATGGCTTTCTTTTTGCTTCAGACTTCAGAATCTTAGAGAAATTGAGGTTTAAAGGGACCTCTAGAGGGACGTACTTCCACCTCCTACTTGGAGTAGGGCCACCTTCAAAGTTAGATCAGGTTGCTTAGGACCTTGCCCTGTCCATTGTTGAATATCTCTGAGAACAGAGGTTCCACAGCCTCTGAACAACCTCCTTTGGTGTTTCCCCTTCTCACTGGAGCCTTCATTCCTCAATTTAACCTGTTCAGCAGGTCTATTGAGGCACTTGTCTCTAGTGTCCCAACTAGCCAAAAGGTGCTATTATTTTTTTCAACCTGTGAGCCTGGTGTTCCCAGAGAATGTCTCCCTTCCCTACCCTCCCTCTTCACCCTAGACATGGAGTCATGGGATGCAGGTGGAGCATGCAGATGGCTTGAACAGACAAGTGGTGCTCCTCACTTCTGCAGTGCAGATGTAGACACAGCCTCTTGGGCTTGCTGTTGAGCCTTTCAAGTGCTAGACTTAGGATTGCTGCCTGCCAGCTGAGTGACCTCCTGTGCAAATGCCTGTAGGAATTGATCTAAGGCTGTAGCCTCCAGACTGAAAGGGAAGGGCTCTTTTCCTTTTGGGGTGGTTGTCCTAAGATAAACCCTTGCACTTGGCACAGTGGAGGCAAACTTGGCAAAGTGAGGAATGATGACTCTGAAGGGCACCTTAGCCAAAGCAAAGCTGTGAAATAGGCCTTTGTGATCAACTTCCCCTGTTCAAACACATCCTTCAGCTGGGATCAGAGTGAACACAGTCCTTGCAGGACATACACAAGAGGGCTCTCAGCACCCTGCAGTGCCTCACTGCATAAGCTGGCTCCTGTTTCCCCTTGAACAAATGAACCTACGGCCTCTGAATTGCAACTGTAAAAGTGCTGGAAATCGCTGGTCCTTCTGTCTTACAGTGCATGCAGCCAGGAAAGAATGCCAAAATTACCCCTCTAGCCTTCATCTTCCCTGGGGCTGAACCTTGGAAACAACCTGGCACACAGAGTCATGATGGCAGAAACAGAGATTTGGGATCATTCAGTGACCAAGACCTCTCCAGTGAAAATCCGCTGGGAACAGCACCTGCCTTGTATTTGTATAACTCCAAGCTCTGCTGTAAACAAGCCACTTCAAACCCCTGGGATTCAGAGCTATCTTTACCATCTCCAGGGCCACTGAGCAGGGCCTGCCTGGCAAACAGGTTATTTCCATGACAGCAGGATTCGGTTGCTGGAGCAGGGATGCCCCAAGGTTCATCCTCTTCAGGAAAGTATTAAGCTGAGCCATGTACAACTTGCTGCTCTGCTGTTTTTTGGGGTTTTTTTAATTTTTTTTTTAAATTGAGACAGATCATGCAAGATGTGTGATTTCAGTGCAGCTTGTAATGGTTGTTCACTGTTGTTCAGGATTCAGCATACTGATGGCAGTAGATAAATGCACTCAGCAACGTTGGTGGACTCTGTGTGGGCATAATTGAAAAAGGCTAAAACCATCCTCTTAAAACTCCTCTTACAAATAGGGTGCTGTCATAAATTGTATTACACTATGATTCAAGAAGTGGCATGTTTTACAGAGCTTGCATAGTTAGCAGAGCCACACACAAAAAAAAGAGGATTTCATAACCTGTGTTGTTTCAGTTCTGTGATTGAGTAGGGACTATCACAGCCACAAAAATGGTGGAACTGGTTTGGGTCAAAGGTCTGGCTGAGCTCTATGTGCAGTGTGTATGTGACAGAGCAGCCAGTGGCATCAGTGTAAGGAAAACAGCAAAGGACAAGGAAACAAGTCCAACAGTAGGGACAATTACAGCACCTCAAATATAGCATCCAACTTACTGTGCCTTGTAATGGGAGACTTTTGGAGCCTTCTGTCCATAATTGGCTGATGTGGCTTTTTTTGTTTCAATTGTTTAGTTTGTGGGGGCTTTTCTCCTTTTGAGCACATGTAAATGTTCAATGTTTTTTAACTTTTTTTTTTTTTTTTAACATTTTGGCACTCTGTGGCAGAGTTTCACTCCTGAACTATAGCTCTGTTACAAAAAACTGTGTTTTGCTTGTCTTAAGCTAATGTTTCTTATTTTTATTCAATAATCCTTTCATCTTGTGTTGGAAATGCTAAGAATTGACCCCTCTTCTTTTCTACCTTCTAACTGAGAGCTCTGTCATTACATGGAATTTTCATTGCTGATGAGGAAACAAAGAAAAAGAATGAGGCTTGTGAAAATATACAGGAGAAAGAAAGACCCTGAATTTAAATGAAAGACAGGCAAAATTGGATAAATTCTCTTCTCTGAAAGTGAGATAAGATGGAGATTTTAGTAACTTCCCCAAAATTCCACAAGATGAGTATAATAGGAATGCAATGAAACCTCCATATTTCCAAAGAAGTACTTTAATAGCAAGATCATTGCACTGGTGATGTTTTCTCTCGAGTACTCTGTGACTTCCTAATATGTAGCAGCTTTTAGAAAAATCTTCCACCAAAAAAAGTCTGTGAGCTTGCATTGGGAAATTCAAATGCAGAGTATGTACCCTACTGAAGTCCTTGGTTCTGACTGAAATAGTAAGTTTGATCCTTTCCCTTCCATTTTAGACATTTGAAGAGCTGAGGTCCTTTTTGAAGTCCTTTTTGCACTCGACAAGCACGTAATTCTTAAATAACTCAAGTAGCAGGCATCTTGCAAGACTGCAGAGTTTGTTTTGTTTGTGTCATGCAAGGTCTCCTTCTTTGTGAGACTCCGAGTTCAGAGTCAAAGCCAGAAGAAAACATTTTTATGTGAGTTGGCAGAGATGTCACTTCATTCTCTAAAGGTCTAAATGATTATCTAAATTGTCCTTTTCTGTGGGTACATCCTCATTTGCTGAGAGGCAAAGTTTCTCCAAATTTGTTTCTTTAGATGTGGAGGAGGCTGGAAAGGAGCACTTCACAAATGAGAGTGTTTTTTTCAGATCCAGATTGCCTACTTTGTGTTTGGGGTCAATAGAAACTTCTCTTTGAGTCTCTTGGAATTCTGGAAGGATTCAAATACACTGCAAATAGCATCAGATATCTGGAGACTTTGATTCATCTCATGCAAATAAAGCCATTGCATTCAGGAGTAACTTAGCTTTAGGTTACTGGGTTAGAGATTGCTGCCTATTTAAAATTAAATCCTGGAGCCAGCTGAAGGAAATGACAGTGATTTTGGGGAGGCCTGTAGTACCTAACTGCCATGGTTAAACTGAACAAGCAGAATAGTATGTTGCCAATAAAGAATCCTAGATTTTCCCCATCTTTACACAGAGCTTTAGCCCTAGTCAGAGCTAGTTAAAGCCTATTTAATTTCTTTCAGTTTCAGAAAAAGTGAAACTGTTGGTTTCTGTCATCCTTTGCCCAGAGGGAAACAAAAAAAACTCCCTACTATGGAAATGTAAACCTGCATTTTGGTGATCTGAGTTGTTATCAATATCACAGGCTAAGGTCTGTAATTTTCTAAGGATTGTGTATAGCTGAAGTGGCCTTCCTAGTAAGCTTGAATGTAAGACAAATTACTAAAATCAGAAATGGAATTATTTACAATTACGAGCTACGTTTGAGGTGATGTGATATAAGTGTTGCAATTAGTGTGAATGCTGTAATTCTTTGGGACACTTCTCTAGCAAAGCTGTTTGTAGCTTTACCCTATCACCAGAAAAATACAGATTCAGGAGTCAGCAGCTAATTATTAGCACTAAGCAAACCCACATTTTCTTTGAATGACTAAATCTACTTAGAGCTCCTCATTCAGATGGGCACTCAGGAATACCCTGAACTATAAGCACATTGTTTAAGTCCACGGAGTTCCACTGGATTTAACAGGTCTTTAAAGTTCAGGCTCTACTTAGGGAACCTGCTGTACAGGGGACCTACAGAATAACACAGGCAGGTGACAGTGCTTTAAAAAGCAGTGCCAGTATGAGCCAAGCACGGCCGGATTCTTGAAATCTGACAGCCCTGGAAAGCAATGGAAGGCTCACAGTTTAAGTAACAGATTTGTTTGAACTGAGATTCAAACACTGCCTGGACTGGGGAATGTGCTCATCCCTGTGTATGCCTACACATCCTCCCCAGATCCATGCTGGTTCGAGGTGAGCTTTTGTCACGTCTCAGACTGTGTGACTTGCATGATGGATTCCAGGATAGCTACCAGCAGTTCCATAGCTTGAGCCACAATAAGATAGAGAGATCTGCTTTTATGATGAGTAAGGAAACCCTGTTGAGGTGTTTCTGGACAGGTTTGTGCAGTTGCCTAGTTTGAAACTATCCCATGCAAAAGTGTAAGGGTGTTAACCTGTGCTAGAAGACAAGTGAGCCTTGTGCAATTTTGTGTTCTTAACCCCACTGGGCAGCTTTGTGTGGATTTGTTTCCCAAGATACAAGGCCATATTCCTTGATTCCAGTGGTTTTCTGTTTTTGTACACTGGGTGTTTTGTGCAGAGGGCAGCTGGATCGTGCAGCACATCAGCTGGTGGTCACTGATGCCTGGGGAAGATGGCTTTGGTTATGTGTAAGTGCCTGCAGCAAAAACATCTTTTTCTGATACACAGACTGGTTTAGCTGGAGCTCAGCCCTGATAACCTGTCCGTCTTTTCTGTTGAGAAATATTTGTGGTGTGCACTCCTTTTGGACTTCCTACATGAGCTGTCCCTTACACCAACACACTGGTACTGAAGTTGGGTGGGCATTAATAAAAGGGTGAAGTTAGTTCATCCTATTAGGGGAGAGAAAAGGATCCCCTTTCCCTTTCCATCAGAATGAGGGTGGCTTTTCATTGTGTGTCTGGTAGATAGTCTTTTGGATTGCTTTCTCTTTGTTTCTTAGACCTGCTCAATTCCTTATGAAGTACTTTTGATTTTGGTCCTGAAAAGTCAGAGGTAAATCTCAACATCAGAGTTGACAAAACTAAGAGGAGTGCAAACAGGCAGATAGCTGTGCAGGTGGAAAGTTACCCTGATTTCAGAAAATTATTTCAGCTGGATTGGTTGGGAGTGTTACCAGCAGCACAGGGCATTAGCATTAGAGCTCTCTGCTCAGGGGGTATATTTGCTTTCATATCATCCATTTCCCCTCTTGTTCCCAGAGCCAGGCACTGCCCAGTAATAGCTTGATACATGCTGCTCCCTGCTCTGGAGCCACAATCCAGCAGCATGACACACAGCCTCTGAAAGTGGCAGTGAGGAGGCCTTTCGGGTGCACAATTGCAAACAAAAAAGAGGAGGATGTAATGATACATATGTATATGTACACACATAATATGACAGCGCCTCTCTTTAAAACACACATTGAGATAAAATAAGAGAATGACTCATTTTAGTTCACCACTGCAATAGAAATCCTTTGAAGATGCTTTCTCTGGTATAATGATAAGAATGTTGTGAAGACTTGAGTTTCTATGGACTCACCTGTCTATGCTTCAAATAGGATAAAGGGAAAAATGTATTTATTGTGAAAACTGTATTTTGGGCTCTTTGATAACACAGCTGAAGTGCCTCCTCAGAAGACAGAAAGGAAGTTTTCAATGTCAGCAAATCCCAGTTCCTGCTGTTGTCTGCTAACCCTCAGCAAGAGATCGTCTCTTGCCCTTCCAGGCTCTGCACAATTCAGTTTGGCATCACTGTGTCAGTACTTAAATACCAGCATGAACTGCAGCACCTTCAAGGCTTTTTGCACCCGAATGTTCCAAGTTTAGAGGTTTTTGGTGAGGGAGTAGAGGAGGGAGATTAAAAATTCATCCAACTGAAACAGTTAAGGAACATTTTGGTGACTTTGGAAGGTTTTGTATCAAACTGCTCTGGCTTGGCCTTGGAAGGGACTGGTGCTTCTGCTGACACCAAGTTCCCTCAGAAAGCGACACTGATGTCTCCACAACTGTACCTGTAGCTGCCAGTACTTGCTGGGAGAGAAATATCTGGGATACAGCAGGACGTCAAGATGTGTGTCCAATTTCAAGCCTCCAAAGTCGGAGTCAAAATATATAAATGTACAAAAAGTCCTTCTGGTTTCTCTTTGGCTTATTTTCTGTCCTTATTATCCTGGGCATCCTTTGGAACACCATTAAGCAATGCAATTCCCTGTGTGCTAAATTCCTTCTTATGTTCCTGGGGCTTTTCAAAGACCCAAGAGGCAATATCTTACTCTATCAGCTTCTGCTGTATTAGGTTTATTTAAATACAGTCCTCCTGTTTTCCATCCTTGTTAAGTTCTGTTGGAAAAAATAATCAAAATGCTTACCTGATACACTTTAGCTTCCCTGAAGAACAAATACCTGGATTTTAGTGAAGTACTAGTTTACCTCTATGTCTGCTTGCAAGTTTAATTTTTATGTTAAGAACTGATTACTTATTAGAAGAGTAGCCATATTATGATCTGTCACAAATGCATACTATTACAGAACAATCAGAATATCTACATAACCCGTGTGTGAGCTTGGGAACAGATCCCACACTCTCCAGGCTGGGGACAATTCACCCAGCAAAGTGTAAGGAATGGCATGATCTCTTCATTGCCCAGCCAGTGGCTCACTCAGTGGCTTCAAGAAAGCCATTCTGCCCTGCATCTTATCTTCCTCATCTGCAAAATAAACAGTGGTGGTGCTTCACTTCCTTGGTATTAAGCTAGCTTAAAAAATTTCAAAAACCTCCATTTTGAGCTCTTTGCTGAGAAAGGCTCTGAAGTAATTCAGAGTTATCTAATTGGGTACAGCATCATACTGACAACCAAGATGTTTTCAGCTGAGCCAGTCCATTATGTTACAGAAATCCATAGGAAGATGAAACACCACTTCACTGAAGGTTGAATATTGAAAGACTACCAAAGAAAGTGACTGGATTTTCCTTTGTCTAGAGACCATTGGGTAATGCTATCGGGAACAAGAATGGAAAACAGGGGAAGTCTAGTGGGGCTTTCCCTGGTCTACCTTGAGCTTCTGGTAAGCTGCAGTTCAGGGACTACCTCGAGCAATGACGTGCATTTGGACAATCATGTTTAATCAGCAGTGATGAGGACATTTTCCACAAACTTGTCCAATAATTTTGTTTCTTAAGCTATTGGTAGCACTGAATTCTGGTTTAATAGGTGTTGTGTGAAAAGAGCACTTCCTTCTGTTTCAAACTTGCCTTCTAGTTTTGTTTGATTCTCCCTATTATTTCTTGTGCTTATGAGAATCAGTGATTCATCGCTTCCTTGCATTCCCTGGCTTGCTTGTGATTTTAGAGACCTTGGGCAGATCTTCATGGCCCCTCCTTGTTGTTGTTCCCTGCAGTCCAGGGAGTCCCATTTAGCAGGAAAGTGCAAGTTCCAAGCCCAGCACAGCGACTTGGCAGCAATCCATAATTTGATGTTTTTAATCAAAGCTGTGCCCTGACTGTGCTTCCAGGTTCAGGCAAGTCGTGGCGGAGTACGAACCAGAAGCTCAGGAAGTATCCCGGCTCTTCCGCTCCGTCCTGCAGGAAGCTGCTGAGAAGATCAAAGAGGAGGAAGAGGCCAAGAAGCTTGCAAGGCAATGGAACACAAAGAACAGAACCAGCCTCTCCTTAACAACATTTAAATCTCGGTCCAGGATTTCCCCATTCATCAGTGACATCAAGACCATCTCTGAGGATGTGGAACGGGGCACCCAGCCCAACAGGAGGGTTTGGAGCATGCCAGAATTTCGGAACACCAAGGATTTCTGACTCTATACTGAATAAGGTTTTTAGACACTGATCTTTCAAAATCCCACTTTAACCCTTTTTTAACTCTACTGTTTCTTCTTTTTTCCACCTCTCTTTTCCTGCCTGTCTCTGTCTTGGAAGTTGTGTCTGTAGTAACCGCTGCTGATGCCTGCAGTCTGTGACACCATTTATTACCAAACATGATAGCCTTTCCTTTAACTCAGTAGCTATTCAGTAACCTTAAGGGCAAGGCTCACTTATTATCCCATTTTTATTACTGCTTTCTTGTGGAAAATGAATTAGTTTTGCTACGTCTGTCTTCTCCCTTTCCCCTCCAGCCTGGATGTAGTTATCTATAAAAACTTTTGGCTCACGCTACTGGGAGCTGCTGGCTGGACCAATCTTGCTGAAAGCAAGACAGTCACTTAAATGAGTGAGGTTTGCAGGATTGGGCTTGTGAGTTAAAGCTAGTATCTGATTTGGAACTGAACTTCCTTTTCCAGCTAATAGCCTTCCTCAATGCTACAACAAACTTCACAGGTAACCTCAGCACTGCTCTTGATCCGCTTTTTTGCTGACAGTTCACAATCCAACATGAGTAGAAACAAATTCAAACTTTCTGAGATTAAAGACCAATCATGTTCCACAACCACCAGTTTATGCATGTTCAAGTTTCTTGGGTACTTTCTCTTTTCTGCAGGCAGAACCCCCTGAACCTCACACCTGCAGAGCAGATAGAAATTTATCAACCTGCTGTGTAGATACACAGGTGGATACCTCAGTGCTGTGTCAAGTGCTGTTCTGGGGCCTCAGTACTCTGTATTCCACCCTATACACCACAAACAAATCAGTGGGCTGAAATTAATGTTTATGACCAAGGCTGAAAGAGGGCTAAAGTAGAGTATCCATGTAAAGGGAAGGATGAAGGGACTCAGCATTCATCTCCATGAATGTACAGTGGCAACTGTTGAGATCATCTGAGCTTTTGCTGCTGTAAGTGACTGAAGTGCTCTGGCAGATTAAGGCTCTTCTGAGACCTTGAAGAGACAGGAAAATGCCACTAAGGAAAAGCTGCTCAGGCCCTAGCTCAGCATCTGTAGGGAGAGCTCTCACCAGCAAAGTGAACAGTAGGGCACTCTGTGAAAGTCAAGTGTCCTGCAGAGAACCCAGGGGCTAGGATGCTTCATGGTGGCCAAGGGGAGATGGGGAATGAAGAGAGGGGTTTGCTTGTATGACTGGCTTTTGGGGAATCATCTCAGTGGTGTATAGCCTCCTGGAGGACCCTGTAGCTTTGTTGTTCTTTTGTCCGTTTCCAGCTATTTTTCCCTGGGGATCTTTGCAACAGCATGTGGGTTCTACAGCCAAGATTAAAACCCTTTGAAGCTGTGCCAACTCTGGGAAGAATTCCAGTATATGAAATCTATCCTGGACTAGAAATGTGCAGTTTCTTCCAGAGATGGAAGAAGGCAACATAAAACAAAGATCAAGATCAACCCCCTAAGAGCTCTCTGAGACTCGGATTCTGACTCTTCCTCTCTCCCCTCTGGGCTATGTAAGATTGAAGACAAGGAGACAAGGCTTTCTTACTAGCACCAGGCTGCAGTTTCTATCCCTTGGTAAACATTGCTGCCAGCAACCCTCCTAGGGACAGAAAGCAGCTCACTTTTAATCAGAAAGTCAGGGCTTCCAAATACAGCATCCAGTTTGGGACAGGCTATTTCAACTCTAGGTCACTGATGGAGAGTTTAAAGCCTTCTGGCAATCAGCTTAGTGTTTTTCAGCCATATGTCCTTGTGAAGTAATGTGATTGCATATATGAAGTAAAAACCAAGGCTTGACATACTTAGCATAGCCTTAGCTGTATAGAAGATGTAGGATCTCTAGCAAGAGGTCACCACAATTTGCAGAAACAATTCTTGTTTGGAAAAGAGTCAGCCATATTTTTTTAATATATTTGCAAGCTGGTGTACTGAAAACTGAGATGAGTTCATGATATTCATGCTGCAGCTCTGTATTCATTTTATTTGCACTTATGTTCTGTTTGACACCTTCAGTATTGACCACATCGATGTGATGTTGGATGGACTGCTGGGAGACACGGGACATTCTGACACGCTGCCACAAAGCTCTTTGTTACAGCACAGTGTCAGTACTATGCTCACTCTTGCTTAAGGAGAATCAGCAGTAAGTAACTCCCTGCAGCAATGTGCTAAGCCAAGGAAATCACTGAAGGGTGTTCACACTATCACAGCAGCCTGTGATCCTGCTGTGCCCTTCATTAACAACTTCCAGCTGGCAGACAGTGCTCTTGTGAGACAGATCTGACCTTTGGTCAAAGCTCTGCATGCTATGGTGGCAGGCTGTGGCAGTGCTTGTGACAGTTGTTTTGCCTCAACTTACCTATCATTTCTAATTCCACAATAAAACATAATCCAAACTCTTAAACAGTATCACTCTCCCTGTACCACTTCTGGAAGTTACACTAGGCTCATAGTAGGATTTGATGATAGAGGAATATTCAGATACCAATCTCTGAGAGATCTATTCTTACTCCATGCTATCTAGTACTCTTACAGGGGTAGAAGTTGTACCACATTTACCTGCAGCCAGCTGCTTGAAGACTGACTGTGAGCTCCTGCATTGTGCATGCAGCAGCAGGTACTGAGGCAGAGCTGGGAAGTGATCAGGGTGCACGACTGCTGCACTGCTTGTGGTGCTCATTTTTCTTAGAAATGCTGTAGACTGAACCTTAAATGATCCTTTGGTCTCAGCATGCAGCAACAACTATGCACTCATGTTTGCTTTGTCCTAATTCCACATTTGGCATGGTTAAATTAGTGTCAGTTCAAATAAGGAACATGAAACTCCCAACTGTCCCCACCTACTGTGCTACAGTCCGTGGCACTGGGCACACACAGCAGCTAACCAGATTGTTTCTGGCTAAAGCCAACCCAAATGATCCATTGCAGGTGGCTCACAAACCACAGACCAAATAAACTCTCATGAAAATTGTGTAGTGTGAAGATCAGGTCCTCGTTGGTAACTGTCTCACTCTACAGCTCTGCTCCTTCTGGGCCGCACTACTTGCTAGTGTAGAAAAACAAAACCAAAAAAATCTTGATGAGACCCTCTGATCTGATTTAGCATCTCCTGAGAGCTCATCCTGTGTCTTAATTCCTTAAGGAGAATGAAACATTAACTAGCAGCACATCGTCACTAACAAGCAGAAGTGAACCAAACAAGAATTGTTCTAAATCCTCAAACATTCTTTCAGAACTGAGCAAGGCTTTTGGTATCAGCTCAGAGAACCACTGTTGCCCTGTTGCTGACAGTGTTGTGCTGTCCAAAGGACACTGGCACACCCAGGAAAAAGCAGTCCTAGACTTGCTATACCTTCTAATAAGTAATGGCAGCAGCTCAGCCACACTGCTCAGCTTCCAGGGGCTAGCACTCCTCAGAGCCACAACTCTCCTGAGGGAGGCTGTGCAGCCCTGCTCCTGTGGCTTCTAAAGATGAGCCTGGCCATGGGCTGTGTCAGTCAGAAAGGATGTGCAGGCAGGAGCTGAGGTTCCTCACCCACATCAGCACACAGTTCAGACAGCTGTCATGCCATGGGGAATTGGAGTAAGCTCCGAGGGAAATACCTGTCTGCTGACACTGCACTGTTTATACATTTCAACACGGAACCTTGGAGAATTAAAGCAAAGCTGTGGAATATAAACCAATTTATTTATACTTGTTGTCTTTAATTAAAGATCTCCTGAAATATAATCTGTCTATATCTAGCCAAACATGACAGCTGTTCCACCACCCTACTGTGTATGTATCAAAGCAGGAAGGCATGAATGGTAAAGGCACTTGCTCAAAACAAAAAACCTCCATCCTCTCTCTACAGGCTACACATGCAACTGCACACTTTCTATCTTGCTACTGCTACAATCAGATCTCAAGATACAAGGTGATAAATAACCAGCATTAAGCAATTGCAAAGGTCTGAAGTTCACTGAAGCTACCTGGTCTGCAGATACAACCTTGAAGTCTTCATCAGCGTGCTTCTGAGCACGTCTTACATTAACCAGTACCACCACAGAATGAGATGATATGAGAGACAAAACGGGTGTTTTGTCTCCAGGTACTTTTGAATCACTCTGTTGATTCCATACCTGATTCTGTGTACTGGAACACTTTAATATCAGCAGATGGACCCAGATGGCTCAGGGTTCCCTGTGCTAAGCATCATATATAGAAAGCATGCATGTGTTAAACAAAGGGACCCTTTTTCCCCCCACATGAGGTATTACTGAAGCATGAATTGCATTGCTTAGCACATTCTGCACATCAGACAGATGAGTGGTTCCAAAAGGGGACCGTGTGAGTACAGGGGCTTAGTAAACCACACTGCTCTAGACACAGCCTATAGCACAGGGCTTAAGCTACTCCTTGCCAGAAGCTGTGGACAAGTAAACCTGTGCTGTTGCTTACACTACTTCCACCAGACATTGCTATAGGCCTCTCCCAGAAGGAAAATGACAGTCTGACTGAATGGCCACTCTGATATTCCTTTGTTCTGCTACGTCTTCCTGCTAAAGGACATGATACTGTAGTTTTGCCCATAAAAGCATTCTGAGAACTGGACTGCATCAGTCACAGCCTTTTTGGTTGTGTCCTGCAATAGAGGAAGGGCTATTAGGCCCCCCTCAGCTCCACCCACCTGTGTCAGGCAGAGACATCATAATTTCAGTGCCTGCCTTTTCCTGGTACTGCTGTCTGTGTGTGGGCTGTTGGCACAAGGGACCTCTTGTTCCCTTTGCATGGTCAGACAAGCCATGTCTCAAGCTGGCTTACATCAGAAAGATGCTCTGCTAGCCTGGAGTGCTGACTCTTGTGCCCAGGTCTCCCAATGACTACCAGGTATTTTCTGTGCATTTGCTGCACAAAGATATTCTCAGACTAAGGAAAAATCCTTATAGGATGAGATCTTAAAAAACACAACAGAAAGGTGAGAAAGAGGCCTACAAGAACACACTGTATACACTGTCACTGGATACTTCATAATATTGTAAATTGTTAGAGTCCTGGCTAGGATTATCCCACAGATTATAGCATTTTACCTCTGTATTTTAGCCACAGATAGATGTTGCCTTTACCAAATAAATGTAATCTAATCCAGGAGCAGAGACACCAAAGTGAGGAAAAGCGCTTCTGTGTTTTTGACATCAGAGTATCTGCTCTCAGAATGTAATTACTATTACATCTGTTTAGTGTTCACAATGCTGTATCCTCAGAGGCCTCTATCAGGTCATAGTCCATCTGCAGTACTTTTCCAATTTTTTCCAGTGTCAGGTTGCCCAAAGCAACAGATTGCACTTAATTTGGTCTGAAGACTATTTAAATAACCAGATGTGTTATGAAGCAGTGACACTGAAATAGTCCTTATGTTAGGGAGTTTTCTTTCTATAGTCTCCCACTGGTATTTAGGAGATAGAGAAGAGCAGAGTGCAGTTTCTGATGAACTCAGCAGCCCCAGGTAGGGTCCCAGGCCCCTGCTGGCTCTCAGCAACCTGCTCCTGTTGCATTCAGCTATTGAGAAGTTAAAGTTAGCTTCCTTCTGCCTTTGGCACACAGGCACCAGCAGAAGAGATTATTGTCTGTCCT